CTGAAAGAACGTCAGTCAGATGCCATCACCATTACCTAATAATCCGATTACCATTACACAAGGAAACTTTTAAACATCTAAGTCGAATCGAAGAATATCCGTTGTGCAGAACAATATTAATCTTGAAATCTCTAAGAAAAACTATATCCTTTACTACGGATTAGCTGATTGTGCTGTGGCAATTCGTCCTATCCGGTTCAATCACGATAAAAGGTCAATTGCACTGAATTAGTAAAATTAAGAAGTGAATGAAGTACAGATTCCTTGGAGAATCATGCATGAGATGGAATCAGTGATGTGGCTGAAGTGAATAAGAAAAATGGAATGACACCATGGAACTGTCATACGAGTTGATTCATGAGGAATGAGAGTAGTGAGATACAATGGCAATTAGACATGAGAGCAGAACACAGACCATGTGAAATTCATAGAGGACAGAAGAGTGGATTCTGGTGGAAGGTGTGGCTTCATGCGCTACAGTTACCCATGTGCACAAATTACATAGAGCATACCCGACTCTCGTCTCATAGTCTATCATCGATTCTCATGCATGATTCCCATTATGTCTCATCACTCTCAAACCTTATTCCAGCAAATGCATTACAATTACATTGTAACATGCAATATTTCTCATTCACTTCAGCCACATCACCGATTCGCTCTCATGCATAATTGTTCAAGGAATCTGTACTCTTTTAATTTCTTCAGCTCACAGTTTCAACGTCGTCAGCTTTTCTCAGTTAATCGAGCGATATTGGCGGTAACTCATTCGGTTTTGGCGGATCGACTTTGCAATTTACGATTCGTTGAATTCAGAGAAATTGTTGAATAAATGAAAAGTTGAAAGAAATTACGCGATGTGATCGTCGTTCGCGTTGTGGAAGTTGTTTTCGATTGGTTGTCGGACGTAATCAGATTGCTTAATCGTTTCCAGCTTCCCGATGGCCAGATCACGTTCTCGGTCACGTTCGCGCGATCGCCATCGACGTGCACGCAGTCGGAGCAGAAGCCGCAATCGGAGCCGAAGCCGCGATCGTGATAGTAGGTGAGTGAGCCTCGTTAAAATTCCCCACAATTTCTCATTTTATTTGTCTCGGAGTTCTCAGATTCAACGTTCTCCGAAAATAAGTTTTGCATTTGCATGATTGGTTTGTTTTATATAACCAATTGAATTAAATTTAATGATCTAGTATCGTTTGCTTCACCCTTTCAATTGTTCATGGAATTCACGCTTGTACTGAAATCTGAAATGAACAGCGAACATCATCGGCTTGCAATCAGAGCACCTGAACGATTTGAGTGAGCTTAGACCAGTCTCGTATAGATCATTCCATTAGAGCCAAATTAATGTTTTCAGCGTATTAGTAATTTTGCAAAATTCGAAGTTCCTTTTGATTTTTTTTGTTTGGTTTAGACGACGCCATCATGGTCATGATCGCAGCAAGCGATCAAGTCGTAAAAACACAGAAGAGAAGAATAAGGATGCTCAGAAGGTTGGTTTCTGTTAAATCTTTATATTAACTTGTATTTTTGGATTGGGATGTAATCTGTTTCCTTGATCGAGCATTCAGTTATTGTGATGTTCGAGAATCACATTTGAAGGGAATCGAATTGGTCAAGTCACGTATGCGCTCTGGTTTGGATTCGGCATTAAGTCGTCAACAGTTTTCTGGACTGCCAATTGAGGGAGACTCCATGAAGGAAGCAAAAATTAATGGTTCGTTCTAGTATCTAGTATGTTACGTTAATTTCCGAACCAGAACAAATCTCAGTGGACAGCCGTATTTTTCTATTGCTTGAAATTTATTCAGCCTAGAAACTAGCATTTATTTGAAACGTGTTTGAAGATTTCGAACTGTCGGTAGCAGAAGCAGCTTCACGACATCGCGATATCGAGCGAATCGACGAAGGCAGTTTCCGTCCAGCGTCGTTCCATTCCACTGCTGGAGGTGCTGGTGGCCGAGTGAAGAAAGAAGTTAGAACACTTCAATTGCTCATTGTCAACTTTCTTTGTCGTTCTTCCCTTACCAACAACACCCACTTTCTGTTCAGTAGTGTTCATCCAATAGGAATCTCATTTAATTACTTCAGGATCCCACTGACCGTGAAGCTGTCATTGAGAAGAAACAGGATGCTCATGATAAGGCGATGTTTGGACCGAAGTGGCGTGATCCGATCACGAATAAAAACGGATTAGAAAATGAGACAGCTGCTGAAGAGTATACGGAGACAAACAAGGAAATCGAACTTGCGAATCCGAGGGTATGTCCGTTATAATTTATAGTTTGTCTTATTGAAATATTCGAGAACGATTTCATCGAAAGAGATTTAAAGTAGAATTGCTTGAAATGAAGCTTACGTTTTGAAGCTTTTTTTGTACTTCCCTTTGATTGTAATGACATTTGTAATGATAGTCATTCCCAATCTGTCGTTTTTTTCTCCTCCAAACGATTGAAAGATTTCGTATTTTTAGTTCTCGGCTGATCCGGCCGAGCGTCAAGCACGGTGGTTAAAACTGTTCCGTGAACGAAGAGCCCAACTTTTGTGTTCATAATCTAATTGTTTGCTTGGCATTGTTATATTCCTGATGATATGATGAGAATTTTATGTGTTCGTTTGCGTTTGTATATATGTGTCTATTCAATAAATTGTTTATTGTAATGGTGAATGAAAACTCACTGTTGTTCCGTTGAATAGTAAAAACATGACATCGATAAGGTTTGGTCTCATTCAAGGGAATGTTTCATTAGGCAAAATTCTGAAGGTGCAATTGAGATGAAGCTCTCATCTATTGCAATGTACAGTCTGCGTAGGTACTTTGAGTATCGAAGGGTAACTCTCAGATATAGCTTAACATTTTCATATGATACAAGCTAACTGAGAAATTCAAATGAGAATATCCGTCTTTGCACTGAGGCGTTAGAGAATATGTGCTAGAGAATGCTGGCTTCAGATAGTTAGTTTGAAAAAAAAATACAAATTGTGAACATTTTGTACTGTTTAACCTCTTTTATCTGGAATCACATCTCGACTAGACAGAAAAAGATATGACTTCTAGCGTAATTTTTCACATTCTTTCAAATGGTGTTAGTTT